TTGGGGGGACACCCTGTATATGTATAAAATCCAGGGAGAGACTAATGGAAATGTGAGTTCAAAGAGAAAAAGGAAAGGTCTAAAATTTCCAAATGTTACAAAAATAATGTTTTCATGTATTTTGTAATAGCTAGTCATGGGCCCTCTTAATAAGAAAATGGGAAAGAAAACAATGGATATGGAATTTCTATAGGCACTTTTTTAACTGAATCCCCTACTACACATAGACGCTTCTTTGATGGTTGGTCCCCTTAGTTGGAAGAGACCTTCTTAAGAGTTCAAAGGACATGAAAATGAGATAGATAATAAGGTTTACACTTGTGTTCAGCTTATTCCAGTTTAGGGGGGAAAATGTATTCTGGTGCATCCGACATTTATTGCCCTGTTTGACTTTTAATGAACCATAGGCAAGGCTGTCCCATCACTACTCTGCCATCTTGTCAAGTTTCAGCATTGCTAACACAGATGCAGCTTAAAGTAAAAAGTAAGCTAGATAGCCATGCAGAACAGAGCCGTTGTCCTGGGGGCTGGATAGCAAAAGCAAAACCAAACCAAATACCACAGGATTAATAGGTGGGAAATGCTGTTTAGTAATTTGAGTGTAGACTTTGTCATTTATACAGAAGGTGAATCTATAGCTTAAATGTGGCCAATACATTTAATCTCTTAACTTCTAAAATAAGCATTGCTATGCTAATGAAAACAGAGGCAACTACATTTTTATCTATTTATTTTTTAATGTTTTTATTGATTTCAGAGAGGAAGGGAGAGGGAGAGAGAGATAGAAACATCAGTGATGAGAGAGAATCATTGATAGGCTCAGAGGCACCTACATTTTTTCCATTTAAGGAAAGATGGAATGAAGGAAGGAAATTCAGTAGTTCTTGTCTATGACATTAACTAACACATAATATTAACAATTTATAATATCAAATATTGACATGGATTTAGTACTCTTCATGTGAGGAGCTATTCCAAACATTTACTCTACTCTACAACTCCAGGATAAGAACTGTTACTGTCCTCATATCATAGGCGAGCAAACTTGTGCTCAAATTATTGTGAGTCTTATGACTTTGGCTCCACTCAACTGAAAAGATTTCCAAGAAGTGGTGGGACCTTAGAGACTCTTTCAAAGATGGGAATACATTTAGAAACCTGGAAAGCTAGAGAAATTGCAGTGTTTGAAAATGAACTCTCTGGTATAGCTTTGAGGGATTCTTCTTCCACTGCCTCAGACCACTGAGTGTCACCAAACTCTGGACAGAGTTTCTCTGTGCAGAGGCAGGACAGTATCCTACATCCATGAGAAGCTGATGGGCTTTGTGCTAGGACGGTTTTCCTGTTGATCTTACTGGAACCCAGGGGCCATAGATACCCACTGATGTGTTCTTGCCCACTGATGGCAACCCTCCTCTCTGTAAAAAACCTTACAAATGGATGCCATTTCTTCTTTCTTCCCTCCCTCCCTCCCTCCCTCCTTCCCTCCCTCCCTCTTTTCCTCCCTCCTTCCCTCCCTCCCTCCCTTCCATTTTCTGAGTCAATGAAATTAAACTATCTAGGCTCTGTGCCAGGTGCTGATTCTTAAATAAATAGATATGTAGTAAATAAGACGAAGATTCAAACATGGTTTTAAGAATGGCCACTTGTCTGTTCAAGGGATAAAGAGGTATGAAAGAGGGGCTGGTTTCTTAAACCTGGGACAATGGGAAAAGCTTCATAGAAGAGGTTAGTACTAGAACTGAGTCCTACCAGTAAAAGATGTGTAGGTTGGGGATGGGATGGGCAGAGCAAAATGAGAAGAGCATTCCAGGAAGAGCATCAGCAAGAGCAGCCAAGGCTGGGGCAGAAAACAGCAGGACTGGTGGGAGGAAGGGGAGGGAAGGTTGTCTGGACGGGGGACGGTGTGAGGCAAGGCCATTAGAAGAAGGCTAGAGAAGTAGACAAGGGCCAGACCAGGTGAGACAAGGAGAGGACCCATCACTGAAAATCCACCTCCAGGACCTGAACCCAACAAGGCATCTATAGATGCTGATCATGTTTTTAAAATTCTTATATAAGGTCTGAGCTTCAGTGCTTCAGGAATATCGGATACTTCAGCTAACATAATTTGTCGTATCTTATATCGGTCCTGGCAAGATTAACACATCATCTTCCTTGATGAGAGATAGGTAGTTCGAACTGAGGATCAGTTTCATCTTTGATATAAGGTCTAAAGGATGTTGGCTTTTTTTTGTGTTTTTTTTTTTGTTGTTGTTTTTTTTTAACAGTCATCCCAGAACTTCTGTACAGAGCCTATTTTTCAGTTCTAATTTAATGCAAAAATATGTTACTGAGATTCAATATTAACAGCTAGCATTTCATTTTGAATATTTCCATATTAATATTTTTAAACAAACATAGTACTTACTACATACCAGGCATTGTTTTAAGCACTTCACAAATATTAAATTTCCCAATGCTCTGACAACACAGTTGAGAGGTAGGCACCATCCTTACCCTAATTTTACAAAAGAGGAAAGAGTGATTGAGTAACTTGACTGAAAATACAAAGCTGTAAAGGGTGGAGAATTGAGTGCAGGCTTCCTATTACAGAGATGCTAGACCACTTCTGTGTTCCTGATGGTCATTTATCTACTCCCACCCAAAACTAAATTAATAGACAGATTTTGAAATTCTTTTGTCCATTTGTTTAATTGGCAACACACTACTAGATATCATTCAATACAAATATTAGATTTCTATATTTTATGTACAAGTTATTATAGCTCGCTAGTTCTCAACTCTTGCTACACATTAGAATCACCTAGGGAGCTTTTCAAAAAAATTGTTGTTGGCCCAAGCCCTACCTACAGATATGCTGATTTAATTGGTTTGGATGAAGCCCGGATGTCAGTATTTTAAAAACTGCCCAGGTGATTATAATATTCATACAGGGTTGAGAACCTCTGAAATTGATCAATCATGTATTGATTACTTAAGGTGCATGCTACATATTTTACACACATTATTGTCATTTATTATGACAGCCTGATTGGATATGTATGATAATTATCTGTGTTCTACAGATGAGGACATTGAGGAACTGAGAGGCTATATAATTTGCCCAAAATTACACATTTAGTAAGTAACAGAGACAGGAAGTGTGAGGTGAAACCACATTTTCTTAACCATAACCACTGTGCATCTCACAGCATAAAAATTAACCTACAATGTCATAAATGGATCAGCATTCTAGAATGTATTTATTTTATATGTAGGTATTAAGACAGAAAATCTGAATAATTTAACTACCTTACCATTCAGTTTTTAAAAAATACTTTTTAAACTAAATTATGCACAGATATACACTTTTTCTGTTATATACATCTATTTTTACTAGAGCCCCAGTACATAAATTCGTGCTCGGGTGGGGTCCTTCAGCCTGGCCAGTGATCGGCCAGAGGGACTATGGGAGGTTGGCCAGCCAGCCCTGATTGGGGACGATTGGGGCTGGCTGGCCAGGTAGAGGGACTGCAGGAGGTTGGCCAGCTGTGGGAGGTTGGTTGTAAGAGCCCTCCTGCTTTGAGCATCTGCCCCCTGCTGGTCAGTGCACATCATAGGTACTGGCCAGTCATCCAGTTGTCTGGTCTTCCAGTCATAATGGTTGCTTAGGCTTTTATATATATAGAATATTATTCTAGAGGCCTGGTGCACGGATTCATGCACTGGTGGGGTCCCTCAGCCTGGCCTGCGGATATCCCCTGAGGAGTCCTGGATTTCGAGAGGGTATAGGCCAGGCTGAGGGGCCCCACCAGTGCATGATCGGGGCTGGAGAGAGACTGCAGGAGGTTGGCCAGCTGGGGAGGGACTGTGGGAGGGCTCCAGGGCATGTTCAGTCTGTGTCGCCCAGTCCCGATCCACTGGACCCAAGCAGCAAGCTAACCTACCAGTCAGAGTGTCTGCCCCCTGGTGGTCAGTGTGTGTCATAGTGCCTGGTTGAACGGTCAAACAAACAGTTGGACACTTAGCATATTAGGCTTTTATTATATAGGATATTTTATATATGCCATGTGTTTGTTATGTTAGTAGACTTTTTGCTCTATTCCTTTGTATTTCTATATATGAATACATAAATGATCTAAATAAGTCTCCAAATCATGACTAGCTTATTAAGGCTACCAGGCGAATTACTATTGAGAAACAAATGATAGAAGTTCAATTTGTCTTTAGTAGAAAAGACTTGAGTTACACTGTGCGAAGAATGTCCTAACCATAAGCAACATCCTATGAGCACATTTGCTACATGCCAACTGAAGTATCTGCTACTTTCCTGCTGGAAGCCGGTCCATCCTTGCTGCTTGACACAGTCGCTACAGGGAAGAAACATCTGCACAGCATATGTTTCAAGGGACCTGGTGTATATGGCATACTGTTCTTAATATGTTTGCTCCCCTTCTTGGCGCTGTGTGTTTTAACCAAGGTCACCTCTCCGAGAAAGGTTGTTTTCCCAGGTATGGATTTTTCCCTGAAGTTAGGGAGGGAATAAAACCCCTTAACTAAGTGCCAGGCGGGTAGTTAATCACTTTAACTACGAACAATCACGCTTAAGCTACATAATCTTTACTCCCTGAAATGGAGATAAGAAACGCCCTAACCTTTGGAATAGAAATTGATAGGATTAAAATCAACTGGTATAAATACAGATGTAGCAAAACAATAAAACACAGACTGGAGTCTGGTTCTCCAGGCTGCAGCAGCAGCGGCAGTGGCTCCTGCAAGGCTCCGGAGGCTCCTCCTCTGGTGGCAGCACCGCCCCGGGCCCAAGCCTGAGCCCGGGCTCCCTCTCTGCCACCCGGGGAGCCCCCTCATCCTCCAGCGCCTCAGGGAACAGGAGGCTCCACTCTCGGAGGCCTGCGAGTGAGTGAGTGACCCTTGTCCCCTGTCTCAGCCCGCCTGCCTGCCGGCCTGGCCGCTTCCCCCACACACAACCCCCACCCCCTCCCCGCTTCGCCCAGGCAATGGCAGCGGCTCCGTCCTCTCTGCAGCAGATCAGGGACCGGCTGCTGCAGGCCATCGATTCCCAAAGCAACAACCAGAACATCGTGGTGGTGTTGGAAATCATCTCCAGCCTGGAGAAATACCCCATTACCAAAGAGGCACTGGAGGAGACGCGACTTGGGAAACTCATCAATGACCTCCGCAAGAAGACCAAGAATGAAGGGCTCGCCAAGCGGGCTCAAGAAGCTGCTGCGGAACTGGCAGAAGCTCATTGAGCCTGT